TCTGCTCCCAACTGCTCTGCTGTTGCGGCGATCTTCAGCTTCAGCGCTGCCGTCGAGTTCAGGTAGGCGATCACCTTGAGACCCACATGGTAGACTTTCACCGGCTTCTTAGAGGTCATTGCAGCCATGTAATTCGTGACGAACAGGATATCAGGACGAGTACGATAGGCCAGCCACAGGCATTCGCCTGTGACGCGCTGTGCGCGTCTGAGTTCGTCGTCATTGAAGTTCTCAATGCTGTCATCGAAGTCTTCGTCCTGTAGCCATTCCTTGGGGCAAGGCAGTCCCGCAGAGGACTGAGGGTCCAAGCCATGCAACCTCACCAGGTTGTCCACGTAGGACTCTTGGGACAACGTCACGTAGGCCTCCTCCTGAACCAGTTCCATCCCCAAATACCTGAGGCCCTCATCGGCAAACTCAAGGGCTGAGCATGGCCAAATCGAACTGATCTTCTCGTGGACCTGAACAATGAGCTCCCTCTGTCCCATGTAGAGTAGATCGTCCACGCAGGTCACAAGGATCCCCCGCAGAATCGGCCTTCCTCCGCCCTTGGGCTCCACAAGGATCATCCACAGCTCACCATCAGTGATCATTTGCTTCAAGTAGACGCGTCCTTCCGGACTCTCCACTGAAAGTCCTCGGAGGGTCTCGGTTCTGTGGGCTGCCCACAGTGCAGGGCTTTCCCTCAAACCATACAAGGCCCTCTTGACGATAAACACCACGCCAGGTTCCACCAAACCAGCTTGCAGAAGAATCTTTGGCGGAATGACCCCATAGGTGGGTCGATCGGCAGGCCATCTCGCCTGCAGAAAAGCCGCAGATACATCCGTAGAGGCTATACACCATGACATAGCAACCGCGATGGCGAGAGCCAGCCTCAAACCTTCGACACTAGCTCCTGCTGCGAAGAGGTCGTTCGGGTCGTGCCATTGGCCAGCCATGTTTCCACAGATCACCACTCTGGCTTTGCGTTTCCACCTCGGAAGCTGGTTCTTGGCAGGTGACGAACTCAATGGAGGCGGTGGCTTGACCGTACATACAACTTTCCCTGGAATCAGGATCAACTTTCCCTCCTGCTCCAGGCGTCGGGCTTCTGATATCGGCCACCGCTCAATGGCGTCCGTCTTCTCTTCGAGGTTCGCAAGCTCGGCCTTCATCGGAGCAACCCATTGATCCAAATTGGCCTTCACCTGGTCGAGGGGAACATCCAGGGTCACCTCAAGATCCTTTTTGAGGTTGGACAAGTACTCTTCGATGTCCCCGATCTCCTTGTCATCATCCACATTGGCGACCTTGATGAACAGCTGGTTGCACTTCTTTTCCGCCGCCTTGATTTGTTCCTCAACATCAGAGATCAGGTCGCGCACAACATCATTGATGCCCTTGATCTCGTCGTGGATCGCCTCACCAACGTTTTGAAACTCCTCCGCCAGGATCTCCTCCTCGGCTAGGAACTCCTTGAGCCACTCACGTCGCTCCCTCAGCCTTTCCAATACATCCTCTTGTAGTTGCTGAAGTTCTTGGCTAATAGCCTTGGTCTTTGACCTCTTTTCTTCTTCCGCCTCATTGACCAAGAACATCACGGCCTCGGGCTCCGTCGTTTCATCCAGGGCCATCATCCTGAGGAACACCTTCTTGAGCTCATCGGGCACATGAGGTTGTAGTGGAGGAGGTTCAAAGCCATAGTCCCGCAAGAGGTCGTACGTTGGCTGGGTCATCTTGGAGGTTCGTGGGGTGTAGGCGGTCACAACCAATCTTCTTCCTTCCCAGGGTTCCGTGGCATGATACATTCTTGGGTTGATGTAGATGAGGTGTCCAGGCCGTAGTTCACGTACGCGACCCCGTCTCCAACCTCCCTTTGGTGTCTCCTTCCACTCATCTGTGAGGTCATACTCGCTGGAAGGTGACTCAACCCAAACACCACCACCCTCATCACATTGTAGTAGAGGAAGTAAAAGATTGTTTCGCTGGCCGTGGTTGTGAACGTCTCGGTGGCACTTCATTCCCACATTCTCGGTAAGCAACAAAGCTGTGAAGTCCGTCCTTCCCGTCAGCCTCTTGAAAGCTTCCACCAAGTAGGACGTCGCAATGGGGTATAGGCTCGTATTCCTCATCACCCCACACTTTCCACCGTAGGTATACTGTCCCACCATCCATTGAAGTCCTTCCCCTTGAGCTGCTCTGGTTGTTGATCCCGCCTTGTCCTTCAGGACCTCCCAGAAATTGACCACATCCTCCAAAGCAAACTTCTCGTTGTTGATGTAGTCCTTGGCGAAGGAGTCAATGTCGTTGTCAGGCTCCTGCAAGAGCTGAGAGATTGTAGCCTTTCCCCTCACACGTCGTTCTGGTACGGGTAGCTCGAGCTCATGGGGTCCAAGGTCGGCAATCTCCCCTGGGTCGAACAAGTAGGGCTTGATGTGAACTGAGGTGGTGTAGCTTCCATCATCATGTCGCACCACTCGTCCATTCTTCACATCATGGGAATACCCCACAAAGGTCCCTTCACGTCAGCGCTCCAGAAGATCATATCTTCCACCTTGCCCAAATTGCTTGTGCTTCACGTGCGTGGGGGCGCCATACGGAAGGTCCTCGTCCTCGTAGTTCCCCAGGGCCAAGTCCCGCTGTCTCCTGGCTGCGAACTCCGCCGCCGAAGGCCAACAGCTAGCAGGTAGGTTTGCTGCACGGAGTAACACCTTGACCCGGCGCTTGATCTCCCGGACCAAGGCTTCAGCCCTGCCGTTCTGTTGGGGCTGCTGGCTCTCCCCAGTGGTTGCCAGGATGTCCCGGTCCGCCATCCATGCTCGCGTCTCCTTGGCCTTGAGCTCCAGCCCTCGGTCAGAGTGTATGCGGACCAAAGGAAGGCCATGTTGCCGCAGCTGCAAGTAGATCTGCTGGATCTTCGCACGGACTTGCTTGGATGTCCTTGTCACCACAGGCACCACAAAATGCAAGGTCTGACACTCAATGTCATCGCCAATGCCCTTGTAAATCTCCTTGCATCTCTCGTTCATAGCCTTCTGCTCCTCGTCCTCCTCCTCATCTGGTTGCGGAACCTTCTCATCCTCTTCAAGTGGATCCAGCTCGGCTTCAATCTCGTCCTCCTCCTCAACTGGTGGCAGAGATTTATCCTTGAGGAGCTCCAGCTTGGGATGGGCATAGGCTCCCACCAAGAGGTACCTGAACTTCTTGCCGTCCGGTGATTCTCCACGAGTCCTCATAGGTCCGCAAATGTCCATGGACAACGTGTACGCCGACGGTGTAAGGCACCGCCGGTGGGCCCGTCCGGTCGCAGATCCTCGCACACATGTGCGGCACCTCTTGTCGTAGGGAACGTGGTTGTTGTTGATGTGGTTCTGCCAGTATGCCAGGTCCTTAGCATTGAGGTTTCGATTGCCAACCATAGCACATAGAGACGGCTCAGCCCATCGTAAGGCGCTGCGCCTCCAGTTCACCATTGCTTGGGCCAGGCCATACTTCAGCGCAGACGGCCAGCTCGATGGAGGCTTCTCGTAATTCAAGTCCCGGATATGGGCCTCCTCAATGTTCATCCCATCAGACAACTCCAAAGAGGACGCCATGAAGTACATGTGTCCCTGTACTCCAAGCGAATGGTACTTAAGGAAGCGCAACTCATCCTTGAAACGAAACCAGGACATGCTTGTCCATACCGGGTGGTACGTTGGGGCCTCCATGTTGAAGAACGGTGCACATAGCCCATTGAGAACGGCACCCGAGTTCGCCACCAACCACACCATCATCATTCTTCTGAAGAGCAGCGAATCATGTTGTGGTCCTCGAGGCGGTGCTCCAATTACACCTTCAATTTGCCCCCGTGCCGCTGCCCACATCAACGCTCGAGCTGCAGGACCGTAGTTCTTGAGGTCAAAGGCCTTCGAGTCCCTGATATCCATACGGATCACCGTCACATCGTCCGACTCGGCCTTTGCAAGCTCGTGTCCACTTTCATCTCCATTGTACATGTGGACAATCCACCTGGTCGCCAACAGTCTCTTACGGTGGGCTCGGTTGTAGGGGAGCGCCTTCAGGTAGTGAGCCCCCGCCTCATCTGACAGCAGGATCTTCTCGTCGTGGCCAATTAGGGCAGCAATGTCCTCCTCCGTAAACGCCTGCAAGGGCGACTCTTCATCCAAGAGCATTCGCCTCAGGCACTTCCGCTCGCCCTTGTTGACGTACTCCTCCAAATGGTCCAGCCACGTGCTGGGGTACTCGTCCGCGCTCAGCATCTTGATCGCCCCTTCAACGGTAGACCCATGTAGCTTATTCAGCTCAATGTCCTCCAGGTCTGCAATCAACTGTAAGGCTTCGGCCTCACGGAGCACCGGAGTATTGCCCACCAGCTTCGTTGGCAGCAAGCCGTGCTTAGGATGCCGGACTTGTAGTCCCCGTTTCCTGCTCCACTCAAGTTCGCAACCCAAGGAACTCACCAAACTTCCCAACGGCAGTATCGTGCCTCCTTGATCATCCTCAGCAAGAAGAGTCCCACCGGTGTTCTGGCGAAGGGAAACCGTCTTGCCGTCGGCGAGCTGGACCTTGACCCTCCTGGAGGATTGCGCTTCCTCCAAAGACGGCGGGGCTCGGTATGGGTGGGATGGATGCGCCACTATCCAATAGAGCCATTCCATGGCTCTCGCCCAAGCCCTGGGACCTCAGGAGCAACTCCAAGTCCATCACAGCTCCGTCCGTCTGCGCCTGCATCGGGGCCAGCCTCTTGATCTTCGCCAAGAACTGCTCGGCCAGCTCCCTAATCTCCCCAGTGTTCGCATTCTCGTTGAAGAGGATGGTGGAGGCAGTAGACGAAGGCTCGCTCGACGAGGTGGTCTGCCCAGATGCCATCGGGTGCTCCAAGGTCGAGGACGCTGAGGTGGAAGCTGTCTCTCCAGAGATCATTGTCGGGACCGGCGGTGCCATCATGGTCGTCGTAGTGCCTGAGGTTGCCATAGAAGCCACTTGCGGAGCAGCCGTAGAAGAAGTAGTTGCTGCCGCGTCACCTTGGCTTCCCCCGCCCTTTGGTCCCTTCTTGCCGTTGTTCTGCTTTGTGGGGCATTCGCCTTGTCGGTGGTTCTTCGACCCGCATGTCCAGCATCTGGCCTTCTTGTCCTCCTTGGTAGCGAACTGGTGGGAGAACTTGCAGGAGGCTCCCCGTCTGCACCCATCATCGGACAACCAGAACTTGCACGGCTGAGGTTGCCCATTGCCCTTCCCCTTCGGCGAGGCTGCGCTTGAGGTTGGGGATGAGGGTGTCGTAGATAAGCCCTTCAGCTTCGCGTCCTTGTTGGTGTACGGGATAATCTGGTGCAGTTCCGCCATCACATGGTCCGCATACACCATCACAGCGCTCAGCGTCGGCTGGTAGGGCAACTGCAATTCTTGCTTAGCCATGTTCAGCTTGAAGGCCATGTCCCGGTTCACGTCAACGACTCCCTTCACTGCCGCCTCGATCGCCATCAAGAGAACGGAGCCATCCGGGAGAGCCACGCCCATCTCCGCCGCCCGGCTTGCAAGTTTCTTCCATCTTCGCATGTTGGCTATGAGGTCGATGACAGAGGTGGTAGTAGGGATTGTTTCCAGCTGGCGAAGTAGGCTGGCCCGTTCTGCCGCTCCGCCCGGAGCGTAGACTGTGTAGAGCTTGAAGAGAACCTCCTTGGTCGTTTCCAGCCTCAGCATGAGGACCTCCTGCTTGATCGTCGCCGTCATCGCCGGCATTAACAAAGCCAACACTCTCTTGTCCAATCGAGCCCATCGCTCCACGTCCACACCGGGTGTTGGTCCCGGCCTCACCTCCAAACGCTTCAATGGAGTCTCCATCTGGTACCGGTGGTAGGCCTCCATAACTGAGTCCAGGGTCGATGTCCACCAGGAACTCGCCTTGTCCGTAATCGATCCCACCACCTGGCCCGTCTCGTAGATCCACTCCAGAAAAGCACCGAGCTCGCATCCTGGTAGGGCTCGGGTAGTTTCGGAAGCTCCAAGCTTCCCTTCAGCAACTCGGGTTCCGGTCCATCTCGTCGTAAATGAAGTTGCTGAAGCTGCTGTATCCCCTTTGCCAGCAAACCCATGGGATCCGTTTCCCCATGGCTTGCTGCGCCACTGTTGCCATGAGCCCCAGCCGCTCCTCCTCCACCTCCAGGCAGCTCCTCGCTCCTTGAGGCGAAAGTAGATCCCCGATCACCTGGCAGCTTCCCTGTGGCCTCATTCACACCACCACCGCCAAGGTTTGAAAGGGGAGGCTTGTGGCCTCCTTCCAGGCGTAGATTGTTTCCTTCAAGACCAGGAGGAGCCCCAACTCCACCTCGGGAAGGTACAGGTAGTGGAGGAAGATCTCGGCCTCGACGTCCTCCCAACAGTTCCCCTTGCTCTGAAGGCTGCGCGTACCCGGCACTGGGACCTTTTCCAGCTTCGAGGTTGCGAATCGGCCCTCCTGATTCCACCGGGGGTGCTTCTCCTCCAGAAGCTCCCTGCTGAGATGGACCAACCTCGATCATCTCCATCAACAAGTGTTTCAGCTCCAAGTTCTCAGCTTGGAGCGCTTGATTGCGCTCGTCACGAGTTTGCATCGCGATCTGGACCTGCCGCTTCACCTCTTCTTGCACCACCTCCGCTGGTATGGAACCATTGGACGACTGGTCTCCTTGGCGGTCCAGACGCTGAGGCGCTGCATTCATGTGGTTCCACTCCTGGATCACCTGCTTCCGTAGAGGTTCCTGAACAGGGGGTTCAGCCGGAGAACTCGACAAGGGCATTGGCGGTGACTGGAAGTGCCTAGAGGTAGGTGTTGGTGGCGGTGGGGCCCTCAAACGTTCCATCATGGGTCCCATAGTCCTCTGGAAAAAATTCCCCAAGCGACTGTACCAAACCACTTGCTCCCCTGAATACTCACCATAGCCGCCCTCATTGACCGCCATTGTCGCAGACATTCCATCAGCCGTCGAGTGAAGCATCCTAGCCGCCCTTTGATGCAAGGCTGCAACCAAAGCCGATCTCTGCTCATTGAGCTGGGCCACTGCTCGAGGGGTTCCTTGAGCTTGGGTCACGTCCACTACCACAGGGGTGCGTTGAGAGGTATGCGATGAGGTCTGTGGCTGTACCTGCTGAAGTAGATCAGGTTGTGGCTGCTGCTGTTGCCCAGCTGGTTGTTGCTGCTCCACTAGCTGAGGAAGGCGATCAATCTGTGGCTGCTGCCGCGATCCCGGCTGCTGTTGTCCCGCTGGATGCTGCTGCTCCACTAGCTGAGTAGGCCGATCAGGTTGCGGCTGCTGCTGCGATCCCAGCTGCTGTTGCCCAGCTGGTTACTGTTGCTCTCCTGGCTGCTGCTGCACCTGACCCTGAAACCCCCGTAACGTCGCGCTCCGTTCCGGTATCTCGTTCGCGCCTGGTCCGGTGCTTCCTCGTGGTAATACCCCAGCCGCAGCACGTCGCTCGGCATCCACAGTTGTATCCACCACCACACCAGAGTCGATCCTTCCCGCTGGACTGTGAGGCAGTTGACGATCCGCTTCAAACGACGAACCGTCAACCCTCACTCCATTGGGAAGTCCTGACCCGCTTGTAGCATCCATGGCCTGAGCCCTTCCACCACCAGCTGCTCCAGCTCCACCAGAGTCAGCTCCTCCGTAGTTGGGCCCCAAGGCCGCCTGACCGCTTACACCTGCGTTCACCAGCATAGATTGGGCGCTCATAACCTGTGGAACATCATGTTCCGCTGATTGAAAATAAGTCCCAGGTGGAGTAGACATCTTCAAGGTGTTGGGAACTTATTACGCAGGAAGGGCCATGGCATCGAATTGAAAGGCGACGAATCTTTTCACGCGGAAACAAGCTGTGCTTCAGGCTTCCGGTTCGAAGCTTCTGGTTAGAGACTCCTATACAAAGTTCAGTTCGGCTTGGTATCTCAACCTGACCGGTGTACAAGAATTCAGGGATCACCAAGCTTACTCAAGATCTCTCGCGTAAAAGCACTTTGGTCATAAGACCCTTGATGGCCGCGTGGATCGGCAACTGAAATGACACATGCATCATCA